GTAGAGACCAATCAAAGATCCCCCACATGACTTCTGGCCTCCACAGGTACCTGCATACACATGTGCACACACTCGTATACATAAAATAAAAATAATATAAATAAATAAATAAATAAATAAATAATGAATAAATAAAAATAAAAAGAATGAAAACATCTGCGGCGCCTCTTGACCCTTGACCTCCATCCAGCCCTGGCTCTGCCCATTACACTAACCTTGACATTCTTTCCTCATGTGTCTCTAACTAACTCAGAAGGCTGTCTCCTTCCTGAGTACTATCCTGTCAGGGGGTGCTCTGCCTTTTTCTAACTATCATATTAGTGGTCTGGTGCCAGTTACACTTTCCGCATTACCTAATTTTTTGTTGAACGCTGGAGAATGATCCGTGTTCCAACAGGAAGTTGTGGTCCATTCATTTTTCACTCCTGTGTACTACTCCACAGTGGGAACAGTCCATGCTGTATACACACTCCTGGCAAACATGAGGATGATTTTCACTTTTCCCAATTACAGGCAGGACTGCTGTGAGTAGGAAGGGACTGTGTGCCTCCGGCCCCAGCCAGCACTGTCAGTGGCTCTCCAATCTGATTTTACCAGTTGATCTCTGATCCACAGCCAGTGGGTCCCTTTTCCTACACATTGCTTGGGTTTGGATATACTGTGTCCCCAAGTGTCCTCAGTGTGGTGATAGTGAGAGGTGGTGAGGCCCCCAGAGAAATTGAGTTCTTTTGGGACACCGAATGGGTCCTCATTGGAAGGTTGTATAAAAAGAGAAACGCTGACCTCCCTTTCCAGGCTTCCTGCCTCTTCCTGATGCTTCCGTATCCCACATGGTCTGGTCATGGCACCATGCACCAGGACCTTCACTCATCAGACCCAGTCAGCCCTCCAAACCTGTGAACTAAGTAAACCTCTTCATAAATATCCAGACTCAGGTGTTTCATCATAGTATCAGAAAACAGACTGGTAAGACTTGCCAGACCTTGCCAATCAGATATGCGGGAAACCCACGCATTGCTGACCCCGTTTGTACTTCAGCTATTCCAGTTATTCGGTGATACCCAGCACTTGAGTACCTGTTTGTTGTTCACTTTGGTTTTTCTCCTGTGAATTGCCTTGGCTTCTAGACAGGCTTTCCTCCTACCCATGGCTAGTAGGTAAGAGCCAGGCTATAGCACTTGCCCACCTCTGAGGCGGTCAGCCAGCTGTTTGGGCAAGTTGGTGCTCCATGTGAGGGTCACCCCTGAAAGGTTCTGAATCCAACAAGGTTATTCTGACTTTGCCAAGCTCTAACAGGGTCATGTGTCGACCCCAACACTTCTCAAAGCCCAGTCAGCTGTCCCTGGCAGTATGATGGCTTCCTCTCCTCGGCAGAGCCCTAAACCCAGAGGCTGAGGCCCTGGGACCTGCTGAAGGCTTAGAACAGTGGCAAAGTTCATGCCAACCAAAATGCAAGAGTGTGTTCTCGATCCATGACTGCTGAGTCAGCATAAACCAGGGCTCTCAGTTTATGAGAACAGAGACGGTAATGAAGATGGCTGACCATGGTGCTGCTTAGAATAGCAGACAGGAAACCTCCTGAATGCCCTGGACTGTCCTACCTCACACACATCGTACTTAAATATGGTATATACCACCTTAAAATGGTCTTCAATTCATCATCATAGTCCAGTATCAAGGAAGGAGTGACATTCGGGAGCCTTAGTGTGGGTGGGGACTTCAAGATGCTTCTGAGAGGGAGGGGTTACAAGATGCTGATGAATGTGCAGAGCCAGGCTACTCCAGACCCACTGCACCTGGGCGAGCCAGGAAAGAGCACGGGTCATGGTGAACTCCCAAGGTGATTCGTATGCAGGCTAAAGGGTGAGACCCAAGGCTGAGGAGATTGGGAAACCCAGTGAGAGGCACACTGGGGCATTAAGAAAAGCAGCAAGTTACATCCAAGTTCAGGGTGAATAAGAATGATCCCATCTCTCTCTCTCTCTCTCTCTCTCTCTCTCTCTCTCTTTCTCTCCAAGTAGGTGCCTAGCAATGCCAAGTTAACAGCCACTCCTTCTGGATCATGGTTTCTCAACCACAACACCATTGGCATTTGGGGCCAGATGCTCTATAGGGACGGATGGGACGTCCTCTGTAATGCAGGAGCCCAGCTGTGCCCTGGGCTCTGCAACTAGGGACAGCAGCACCCCTCAAGAAAGCAGCCAAACATCGCGATTTCCCTGGGAGCCCAGACCCCAGCCAGAGGACCAGTGCTCTAGATAGAAGGGATTTTAGGCAACATCTTGTGGTGTTAGAACATACATCTTATTTTTTTGTGTGTGGGGGGGGTTCCCCTTTTGCCCTAAAATGAACAAAGTATTTCACTCATGTAAAAAAAAAAAAAAAGATATTTGGGGGCTGGAGTGATGGTTCAGTGGTTAAGAGAACTAACTGCTCTTGCAGAGGGCCTGGGTTCAAATCCCAGCATCCACATGGCAGCTAACAACTGTCCGTAGCTCTAGTTCCAGGGGATCTGGCGCCTTCTTCTGATCTCCACAGACAGTGAACGACATGGGTGCACCTACCTACATGCAGGCAATACAATCATATACATAAAGTAAAAATAATAAGATATTTTCAAAAAGATATTTCCATTCCCTGTGCTGTCAAAATCACTCAAAACAATATTCACATTTACATAAGTAAACCTATTTTATTGTGTCTTCAAAATAGTTAGGGAAAACAATGTACAAAGACTTACTCAAATGTCAGTATTCCTTAGGAGACTTGAAAATGCTTATAACCTTTGAGCCTGGCATTCTGATGTTAAGCATCCAGTTGTCCCTAGTTGTCCCTTGGTATCCATAGGGGACTGATTCTAGGGACCCCTGTGGCCACCAAGATCCTTGGATGCCCAAATCCCTTCCACAACAAGGCACTGTATGTGCATGTAGCCTGTAAGTCTCTTCATCTATCATATCAGCTCCAGGTTACCTAATACAGGTCTGGGGGTATGACTCAGTTGTTAGAGTTCTTGCCTAGTACGCATGAGGCCCAGGGTTTGCTTCCCCCAGCACAGTATAAAAACAGGCACGGTGGTACATTTCTATAGCCCAGCACTTGAGAGGAGGCAGGAAAATAGGAGTTCACATTCATCCTTGGCTAGATAGCAAGTTTGATACCAGCCTAGGAGATATGAGATCCTGTCTCAAAGAAAAACTACTTTACACAATATAAATGCCACACAAATGGCTGCTCGATTGTACTGTTTAATGAATAGTGGCAAGGAAAAGTCTGCCAGAGACAATTCTTTTTAAGGTTTATTTTATTTTTATTTATGTATATGTGTGAATGTGAGGCCAGAAGAAGGCACTGGATCCACTGGAGCTGGAGTAACAGGGGAGCTGGAGTTACAATGCTGGGAACTAAACTCCGGTCCTCTGCAAGAACAGCAAGCTACCTTTGAGCCATCTTGCTAGCCCCAAGATGCAATGCTTGAAAATGCTTTCTATCCAAAGGCTGAATGTAGAGGTGGGATTGATGGATATGAAGGGCCAACCATTTATCTTTTTTGTTGTTGTTGTTGTTGTTTTGAGACAGGGTCTCCCTGTAGCCCCAGCTGGCCTGGAACTCACAGAGATCTGCCTGCCTCTGCCTCCCAAGTGCTGGAATCAAAGGCGTGTGCCACCATGCCCGGCTAAAAGGAATTCTAAATATAAGAAATGCTTTCCCGACATGGTTGGTTTTTGCAAGGTCTCTTATAAAAGCAAGCAGTTATAAGCACTGTAAAATCAAGACAAGGAAAGCAAGTTATTCTTGGTACATTCATCTGAGAAGCTATCATGCAGCAGTAAAATGACAATGCTAAAGAGCTTACAACAGTACAGGAGAAGATTTATCGTATTGTCAAGAGGGAAACAAGTGGATATAAAATTAGAAGTGTTGGGTTATCATCAGCAGGTTCAATAAAAAGAGCGCTACACGTAATGGTCAGAAGAGGTATACAAAGACATTAAACAGTAATTGTTAACAATGCATCACGGGTCATTTTTCTTGTCTATTCTTCAAAAATGTCCACGTTTCCTATGTAATAAAGCTGACATAGAAAAAAAAAGGGATGGCAAAATTCATTTTCTAATCCTTCAAAATGATCACAAATAAAAAAAATGTGCCAAAATTTCAGGTAAGTTTGTCTGTTTGTATTAATCTAGATGAAATTTCCATGCAGTTGATTAAAAGTAACTTTGTCCAAAAATTAAACTGGTTCAGAAACTAAACCATGAACTAAGACACATTTCTATCTATGCTCAGCAGCTCTGAGAAGGAAAAAATTTCAAATGACCAACATAGAGGGTCAGGAAAAGATTGTATATAGTCACATCAATTACAAACAGTAAAAACAGAAAACGCTTGTCAGAAAAACTGGATAATGTTTCCCCAGCCAAAAGCCCATTCTTCTAAAACAGAAGGTCTTCACCAGGAGGAAACCAAATTGTTTGGATTTGGCTGACCGAGGGAAGACGGTCCCAGCCACCTTGGGCATTCGATCTGTCAGCCCTCACTCAAGGTGATGGGCAGCTCCAGCCACAGGAAGCATGGCCATGTCCACAAAGGTGCCCTGCCCACGTTTTTCAGGCAGTGTTCATCCAGCTGGGCCCTCCCCAGGTGGCTCCAGAGCTCCCTTGTTCCTGTGTTCCTTCTCCATTTGTGTGGACTCAAGCTAGATTTTACAATAGACCTCAAAGAGGGAGGCAGCTGCATGCATCCGGTAGAAAATAGAGAAGGGCATGGCCAGGTTGACTGCTATGATCCAAGGTTCAAAACCAAAGACAACTTCCTCCAATCCGTTGTCATACTCAGGGCGGCAGCCAAAGGCAGGGGGGATCCAGAGCTGAAAGAAATAGCCTTCTGTTACTGGTTCACCATACAGTGTCTCCAGAGAGACAGCCTTCTATAGCCAATCCACCAGACAGTGTCCCCAGAGCCACATGTGTTCAAGGCCCAGTCCCCAGCTGACAGGCTACCTAGAGGTGGCTGGATCATGAGAGTGCTGACTTCATCAGTGGGTCAACCCACAAATATGTTCATAGCTGAATGGACAATTATGATGTGAGACCCAGTTGGAGGCGGTAAGTCACTGGGACGTGCCCCCACACCTGCTCCCTGTCTCTCTGCCTGCTGGGAGGTAAGCTGCCTTCCTCTGCCATGCCCTTCCCGGGGATAGTCTACCAGAGGCCTGTGGAGCCATCCAACCAGGACCCGAAAGCTCCAAAAATGTGAGCCTGACTCAATCTTAAGCTGTTTACTGCAGGCGTTTGGTCACAGTAAGTAGCAGTAAGTAGAGGCTGACGAACATACCCCCTGCCATGGTGAGCAACTTCCAAGACACCTAGGGTCCCCATGCAAATCCCAGGCTCACAGAGAGTGAGTCACACTGGCCAGGGTGATGGGAAGACTGCCCAGCTTTCCTCATGCCCATGGGAGCCATCAAATCCAAGAGCCTGCATGGATCAATCTGTACCCCTCAGCTCGCACTCAGACCCAAATAAAGCTTCTTTTATTATTATTATGTGTATGAGTGTTGTGCCTAAGTGTAAATGCACCAATGCCATTCAATGTCCATGGAGGACAGAAGGCTTGGATCCCCTGGAACTGAAGTTATGGACAGTTGTTAGCTACTATGTAGTTGCTGGGATTGGAACCTGGGTCCTCTGCAAGAACAGTCAGTGCTCTTAACCGCTGAGACACCTCTCCAGCCCACAAATAAAACTTTTTTAACGTCTCCATTTCTCTCCATCCCTATGGCCCACCCCACAGTCTTCTCATCTGTAACATGGGAATACTCATCCCTCTCTGGAGGGCTGACAAGAATAAAAGCAAAAACAAGTTGGTAGAACTTGACAATCAATAGAAGCAATACGCCGGTCCCCACCTCCTCTCAGCCTCGGTCCCCTCCCCAGTCACCACTCTTCAGGTTATCAGGACTCCCTCTATCGCCCTGGGCCCTTTTCTTTCTTACTGAATGTTCCTGCTGCTCGTGACTCCAAGCTATGGCAGGTGCCCTCCAGCATGATCCCAGGAATCCCCAGATCTTAGAGTCAAGTTCCTGATCCTCCATGACCTTACTGGCTCACTGCTAACAAAAGCCTTACTTCCAGGCTTACGTTACAAAAGGAACTGTCAGCCATCTCCCCACTCCATTGCAAGAGAGAAGGGTAAGTTCCTAGGCTGAGCTGCCTTGTGAAGAGGCTGCAGAGCAAAGAGCAGAGGGTGCCCCCTGGCCCCGCCCCCGCCAGCAGCAACAGAGGACTCGTGTTTTGCATCCAACAACCCACAAAGGGATTGAATCCAGGTCCCCAGAGGGAAGTCTTGGAAGAAGGGCAGTACCAGCTGACAGCCTGCAGCCAGGCCAGGAACATGATCAGACACCCATCCTTGCTGCACTGGGATTCGCTGGAGAAGCTTCCATATGGTAAACACTTGTGGGTTTAAGTTGCCATGTTTGGGGGTCATTTCTTGTGCAGCAGCAGGTGACTGACACATACAGCCTTCATTTATACCTCTACTGAGAACTCCCCCTGGGGTGTACCTTGCCCATGGCTTCTTGGGCTTAGAGAGGGTTTCGTCCTACCACATCAGCCTTCCTTCCCAACAGTCACCTCTTCTGGCTCCCTTTTTGTTCAGTCTTCATGAGCCCCCTCCCGTTCTCCTTACACATGACACGTGGGGCTGGTGCCCAAATCCTGTTCATAAACACCAGCTAGCGACCTCTGACTTCCACATAAGCCTCCCACCTGAGACAGCACATATTTTCCACTGAGTGTCAGAAACATATCTCAAACTCACCTACCTTCCACATTCCTGCCTTAACAGCGGCATCTTCCTCCCAGATGTTCAGTCCAAACTCCACACCATCTATGTTTTCCCTCTGCCTCTTAAACATCACCCCACCACCCCATCAACCAGTGTGCCTCTACTCTGCACCTCCTTCGATGAGGCTCCACCCCCACCCAGCCAGGCCATCCCCCTGCCAGGACCATTGCAGCAGCCCCCTGCTCCCTGCTCCCACTCGACCCCAGCAGACCTTTCTCCACTCAGCTGCCAGGGAGATTTCTTATTTCTATCCAAGACTCCCATGCCATTGGAAAAAGGTTTGAACAATAGATTGATTGGTGTAAAATGCTGAAAAACTGGGGACATGGCTCTGTGCGTAAAGCACTTGCTGTGCAAGACTGCAGACCAAAATTTGGATCCCTAGCACCCGTGTAAAGAGCCTGGAGTGGCAACAGTGTCTGTAACCCCCACCGTGGGGGAGTGGGGACAGGACCCCTGAGGCTTGCTGGCTGGCCAGTCAATGAGCACAAGGTTCAGTGAGAGATGTCAGCTCACAGAAACAGGAAGACATCCCAACATCATCAGTCTGGACATCACACACCCACATACACAGAACTTGCATACACAAAAGCATACACAGAGACACAAAAACACACACATAGAACACACACACATAGAGCACATAGCACACATACAGCATACAAACATACAGCACATGCATAGAACACACACATAGAACACATACACTGAGCATATGCATGTACTCACGTGCACACACAGAGCACACACAGTGCATGTGCACACACAGCACATATAAAGTACATATGCATATACCCACAGCACACACATATACAGCATACATACACTGTACACACAGTGCATGTGCACACACACCTACACACAGCACACACACAGTTCATGTGTACACACACACACACACACACACACACACACACACACACCACTGTACACACAGTGCTGTGCACACACACCCACACACAGCACACACACAGTTCATGTGTACACACACGTACACACACACACACACACACACGTGCGGGCTAACAACAGCTGACTGCAGATTACCGAGATGTTGCAGAGGAAGAGAAAGGCAGTGATGTTCCTGAGGAGCCTCCGCTTGGTGCCGCTCCGCAGGAAGCTGGGATGGCGGGCTGTGCCCTCCACCCCTTCCCAGCCAGCCTCCCGGTCTTCTTTGCTGCTCGCCTGCTGCAGACACAGATTCCCGTTGGTGGCAGATGACCCATTCCCAGTCACCCCTTGGCTCCCAAGGCCTGAAGCAGCAAGGGTGGCGGCCTCGCCACTATAGACGGTGACCACGCGGAGAGTGCGGATGTCCTCAGGGATGCCATCGGGCTCCTGGTGGACCGATTCAATGATGAAGAGGTTCTGAATGTACTTCTCCATGATCACCAGGATGGAGTAGGGCAGGTTGTACCAGGTATATGATGGGCGAGTCTCAGCACAGGCAATGGCCAGGATGGAGCCCCAGGAGAGGAGCCAGGAGCCAGAGGCCGTGGCCACCAAGAGGTCTACATCCAGCTTGCGGGCTGGGTTTTTGGACTCGTCCAGGGACTTCTCATCCACCCTGTAAATCCAGCATCCCACCAGCCCAGCAGTCCCCATGAGCAATAGCAGGATGATGGCATACAGGTAGAACATGGTGAGCGCCGACTCGCTCTGGGACTTGGAGCACCCGATGTGGATCATGTACACCCCTACCACAGCAATGGTGGCAGCCAGCACCACCAGGCCTAGTGCTGCACCCACCAGGACCCCATCGAACCTGCATGTCATCTTCTGCTGTGGCATGCTGTCCACCCTGCGCCCGATGTTCTTCCAGAGCACATACAGCATGGTGGAGGCCAGGATTTGGTACTCGATGTTGAAGGGGTACAGGTAATAGATCCCGTGGGACAGGGTAGAGCAGAGAGCAGGTGGCGTGCAGTTACACTGCGGTGTGTGGTCATCCAAAACTAGGGTGACAGGCAGAGCACAAGAGAGGGCCATCAGTGCGGGTGATGGCCAGGCCAACAAGCCCTTTAGCCTGGACCTCTCCCCTGGACCAAAATCTACAAAGGTGTGACCGTGTTTAACATCATGACTAAATTGAGGAGCTAGGCACAGACCCTAAAGAGTCAGATGAGCATAAGTCATAGTACATCCATATGCTAGATTGTCCTACCGTTGTTATAAATGGCATTGCAGAAATTGGCTAATCACCACATAAACATGGTCCAAAAGGTACCACAGAAACACAAAAGTCAGTTTCTAAAGAGGGTAGTGATGACTCCATCTGTGTAGATAGACGTGTCAGTGATGGGCAGCTGTGTGGACAGAGGAAAGAACTGGAGGCATGTAAACTACATTGTTCGCAGCGATGGGAAACAGCGGGGGTTGTATTTTATTCTATCTTGTCTCCTCATGCTGTCTAGATTTTCTCTGTGTATATGGCTTTGGTGCGTGGGTTTTTAAACTATGTGTTTCAGAGCAATGCCCACTAGAGACATGAATAGCGGGAGGGCAGGCCAACTGCGCAGAGGGCCCCAGGGCTAGAGCAAAGAGCTACTTCCCACAGGGAGGACGGCCAATAAAGATGGCTGTGGATGAGGGCCTTAAAGACAGCACAGACGGACCCTGACCACAACCCCAGTTGTCCCACTCCACAGAGCTCAGAATGTTGGGAGAAGCTTGTGTAGTGGCTTGCACATGTAATCCCAGCACTTGGGAGGTTGAGACAGGAGAATTGCCAGACGTTTGAGGCCAGACTGAGCTGCATAGTGAACACCAGGTGAGCAAAGCCTTGTCTCAAAAAAAATTATGTGGGCAAGATGGCTCAGCAGATAAAGGTGCTTTCTGCCGTGCCTGCGGGCTTGGATTGATCCCCAGCACTCACAAGGTGGAAGGGGGAAACCAACTTAAGTTGTCCTCAAGTTGTCCTCTGGCCTAGATAACCTTGAAGTGGCGCCACCCCACACACATACACATGTAAATAAATAAATAAATAAATAAATAAATAAAAGTAATTTTTAAATAAAATAGAAGCTAGGTAGAATTATGCATATAAAATTAAGGGTGAGAGAGAGAGAGATCAATGTCTAATCACTTAAAATTTTAAGTGAATTTTGGCACAATTGTACAAGGAAGTAGTAGGCAGCCATTAAAAATGATAACTAGGGGCTGGAGAGATGGCTCAGCGGTTAAGAACACTGGTTGTTCTTGCAGAAGACCTGGGTTTGAATCCCAGCTCCCACATGGCAGCTAACAACTGTCCGTGACTCCAGTTCCAGGGGATCTGACAGCCTCTTCTGTCCTCTGCGGGCATTGCGCGACACAGGTGCACTCACATACATGCAGGCAATACACGCACATATATAAAATAAAAATAATAAATAAAATATTTGAAAATAAATAAATAAAAAATAAAAATGATAACTAAGATGCACTTTACCAGTGAGTGTATGGGTTGTACATATGTTAACTCACTTGATTTAGCCAATCCATGATGGATACACACACTTCAAATGTACATACATGCTGTATATGTTAAATGTGATAAATATATACATCATTTTTATTTGTCAATTTCAAGTAAAAACTGTTTTAGAAATGTGTTTTACTGATTTAGGAAAAGTAATCATAGGGCAGCAGAAAATCATACCAGAGCTGGAACAGAACCTAGCATGCACAAGGCCCTGGGTTCGATCCCCAGTATAGCCAAAAAGAAATAGAGAAAGTCAATCATATAGCCAGAATTTTTTAATGCTGGCTAGACCCACTCAGGGTTCTGAAACCAATTTTAAGAATGGCTCAATGGCTCTCCCCATTAAAGGTTAACATTGCTCAGTTGCCCACCTCCAAGTGAGGCCAGAGTTAATGAGGCTTGTGAACCACTGGAACCCTGTCAGTCAACAAGTACCTAATAAAAGTCAAGAAGTGCCTAATGAATGTTTGCCTTCGTTATGATTATCCCTGCTGTTGTTCCCAAGGAGGGAATGAGACCAAGAAAGCACTTCCCAAAAGAGGGCCAGAGAAGTCACAGCATGGGGTCTGACCAGCAGGCAACCTCATCCTGCTGTGAGGAGACAGCAAAGTCACTGGGCATCTGGCCCAGGCTGCCCCGGTCCACCTACAGCAGGCTAAAGCTAGAAGAATCTTTGGAAGCATGGGGCTCAGGTCTCACTTTACACAGAGGAAAGGCAGGTCTGGAGAAGCTGAATGGCCTCTCAAGATCACACAGATAGCAGGTGATGAGACAGTAGCCCACCCCAGTCCTCCACTTCTCCTCCCTCTGCCTTCTTCTAGCCCAGATGTCCTCAGAGAGGTGTTTGAACATCTCAAAGACTCTGGGAGAAAAATGTAAGGATTAATCTTAAAGGCACAAGAGAGAAGAAAGATGTGCCCAACTATTAACCAAATACAGTCAGCTAAAACCTTCAAGTTAATCTCGGGGGACTGAGCTCATCACCTCAGGCTCTCTGAGCTCTCCAGCCATCCCTTTAGAAGAAAGATCTACTGAGAGAGGCTTAATTAAACTCCCGACAGAGACACAGCCAGTCTCCCACGGTGGAAAACAGAAGCCCTGAGTCCTCCAGCCAATGGGCTGTGAGAGGCAGACACCCAAATGAAAACCCTGAGCCTCCTCGTCCCCAGTCAAAGATGAAACCTGTAATTTCACCCTGGGCACTGCCCAGGGGCCAGAATGAAGGCCTGGGGGTTAGGAGGATGGCCCACAGCAGCAGGCTGTCTGCTCTGTAGGCTTCGTGCCCTGGGGGGGGGGGGTGCTCCCTCACCGATGGTGATGTTGCCAAAGCCCAGAGTGATGAGCCTCTCCTTGTGTTCATTCAGTTGGTGCTTGGACTCATTCAGGACGCTGTTGGCCCACAGCAGCAGGTTTGTGAACACCGAGTGGATCACCCCAAACCTGAAAAATAGACACCAAATACCAGCTCTTACAAGGCCCTGGGAAAGCGCTTATCCCACAAGTGAGCTACATCCTGTGCACAGGCACAGGCACATGTGTGCACACTGTCCTCCTCCCTCCGCTGGGACATGGGCTGGCCCCGGCCTTGGGTGGGTCCAGCTGGCAGGGCAATGAGGAAGGAAATTTGTTAAAGACATGCAACCAAGCCCAGAGCCCAAACCCTTTCTCCAAAGGAGAAACAGAGGCAACATGAGAGGAATGAAGGGTGGCCGTGGGCTGCAGACAGCAGGTACACCCTCACTGCTGACTGACTGACCAACCCAGCCATCACCATCTACCTCCTCCGCTTTCCCACCAGCCCATAAAGGCACTAAAACAGTCCACACACCCCTCTTTCTGGCTTCCCTTGCAACTGGGCTTCCCAGGGGGATATAAGGTGTAAGCGATGGCACATTACTAAAAGTTTTGCTTATTTGATGAGCTAAGCATGACAAAAGCTTGTCTCCTTTTAATAGTCTTGAGTGATGACACAAAGGCAACCATCTCGTAACCGTGAAACAAGCATACAGGATGAAGCCTCACCCCACTGAGGGTGGCAGAGTGGAAACCTGGGGAAGGGCTACTCTAGAACACACTGTTGGGCTCCCAGGGTCCCAGCTAGGTTCAGGACTTCTCCACACTCATGCCTAGAGTAAATAGTCATGGTGGGCTGTGAAGAATCAAAGTCCAGTGTCCTGCCTTTGCCTCTATGCACACTACCTCCCCAGGAAGAAGATCAAAGAGGGGACAAGGACGAAGGTAGATGCAGGATTCTAGGGAACAGGAGAGATAGAGAAGGGAACAACACGGCTCCTGCCTGGGTAAACTCCGTGCTGAGGGAGTGGCTACAGGTTAGAGAGGGGGTCCTCATGGACAGCTTCCAGGCACACAGAAGACACAGCAGCCTGGCTATCTGGGAGAGAGACCCATACTAAAAACAGCACAGCCCAGGGCAGCCATGTGTGCCCCGCTGTGCAGCATAGAGAACACTTATCCGCGACCCACTATAGGGAACTGGAACAGCTGTGTCCTTGACACTCCCACCATTCCCTGAGTTTCTACCCCAGCTGAGCCCAGGTGTTCCAAGAGCCCAGGCAGGGAAAGCCTTCCCGTATGACCCAGCCTCCCTTGACATGGCAGACCAGCCAGGACCAGTGCAGAAGGAGACAAACAGCAGGGGTGTCTGTCCACCCACCTGGCTCTGTGTCTGGCCCGTTGCTACAGCTAATGGTCAGCTTACTCTATGCAGCCTTTGACAGAGCAGACAAAGCCACCACCTCCGGCAGGTGGCTTTTCTTTTATCATAGTGCGCACAGCTGCCCTTCTGTCTCTCCCTTCCCTGCTCCACTGCACTGCCCAATCCTGAGCCAGCTGAAGTCTCAGAGGCAGCACAGGTCAGAAAGGGCCACACGGTTTGGCCACGTATCTGCCATGATTATTGCAGGCTCCCGAGGCCAACATGGAAAAGGTCGTCCAAGCTAAGGGTAAGTGTCATTCCCCATGCCTGATGCCTTCCCACACTTAGAGTGTACACCCAGAGTGTGGTGACAGGGAGACTCCCAGGAGCCAATGGTGCTTCCCATTCACCTGGATAAGTGCTGTCCCTTTCAACTGGACAGAAGCAGCAAGGGCTGTTCCCCACCCAGAAGAAATGTTTCGGCAGCCTCTGGCAGTAGAGGTGACAGGATGGAGGCACTACAGACAGGAGAAACAGCAAGTTCTTCTAGAAGCTGGCAGGGCCCAGCAGGACCTGCCACTGCAGCAACAGGGAGCTGTGGGGACCATCAGTACCTGAGACCAGCCCTGCCCCCGAGGAGCACCTAGCCTTGGTCACCCACCACACATACTTGGCACCGCCACATCTTCCACCGTTTCTAGAGAAGTTGGCATCTCACCGAACCTTGCTCTACAAACTCTACAAAGTTCCTGCTTTAAGTCCCTCAGACCCCTCACTCTCCAGTGAGGGGATGAGGCCAAGGGGAGGGGCACAAGTGTGTCCCACAAGCAAAGCCAAGACAGGCCCATGTGTGACCGATGTCCACAGCAGAGCCCGGAGCAGCCGCTGCCCCAGAAGTGACAAGGTGGGAGCCGCCTGTGTAACTGTGAACTGGCCAGTGGCTATATTCAAAAAACAACACATGAGAACAAGTGAACATACTGTGATCTGATTGTTAATCTATCTAATCAGTACAAAACCCCATTGCAGAGATTGCTTCTGCTCTGTTTTCACACTGGCCCCTGAAATCAGAGCGTAGCCTCCGTGGCTGGTGGCTGCTCCCTGGACAGCACAGAGCTCAGAGGCAGGGACAAGTGCTGCTCTGCCTGGGAGCACCTGGGACAGATGCCTTGAGGCCGAGATTAAAGAACCGGGATGCCTAAGGCGGCTAGAAGTTCAGACCTCAGAGCCACATGCAGCGGCTGTCACACGGTCACTGCTCTGAGCCTGTTTCCTCATCTGCTAAGTGGGGATTTGACACTATCTGTGGTCTGTAATTGGCACAGCTGTTATGAGACATAGTTATAGTGTTCAGGGAAAGTTCATCAAGTTAGCCTGGACTCTCTGCCACCAGCAAGCTGAGAGAGAGAGAGAGAGAGAGAGAGAGAGAGAGAGATGGCACTTAAGAGCCATGGTAATAAACATACAGAAAATGAAACACAAACATAATGTCCCCATACTTCTAATCATATACAAAAATTAACTCAAATGGTGGCTGTAGAGATGGCTCAGCAGTTAAGAGCACTAGGTATTCCTGCAGAGGACCCAGGATTGGTTCCCAGCATCCACATGATGGCTAACAATCATCCTTAACTCCAGTTCCAGGGATGCCTTCTTCTGGCCTCCGTGGGCCTCACACACACGGCGCACCTACATGCATGCAGGCAAAACAATCATCCACATAAAATAAAAATGTTTAACGGTAGGTGTCAGGGGCTGAATTATATCACCAGGACAACCCCAAATTTCTGTGTTGACACTTTAGCCCCTGGGTGACTGTATTTGGAGACAGAACCTTCAAAGAAGGAGTTAGGTTCAAAGGAGTTAGGTTTAATGAACCCATCAGGTTGGCCCTAATCTTTATGATTGGTGTCTTTTTTTGTTAATATCTTATTTATTTATTATTTTTATATTATGTGTATGTGTGTATTGCCTGCATGTAGCTAAGTGCACCCATGTTGTGCAATGCCCTCAGAGGACAGAAGAGGTTGTTGGATCCCTTGGAACAGTTGTTGGCTCCCATGTGGGTGCTGGGATTCAAACTTGGGTCTTCTGCAAGAACAGCCAGTGTTCGTAACTGCTGAGCCATCTCTCCAGCCCCCAGGACTGGTGTCTTTAAAGAAGCGAAAGGACACCAGAGCTTGCTCTCCATGGTGTGAGGACAGACAAGAACCTCACCCAACACCAACCTCAATCGCATCTTGACTTGGACATAGAACTACCCCTTCTCTAGAGAAAAGCAGTTCTTGGGGCCAGCAAGATGGCTCAGTAGGTAAGGATGCTTGCTGATGGTAAGGATGATCTGAGTTTGATCCCTGAGACCCACATGGTGGACGGAGAGAACTGACACCCTCAATTTGTCCTCTGACCTCCACACATGGACTGTGGCACATTCACCCATAGATACACACACACGCACACACACACACACACTCAAAAAAATAGATAAAAAACTTTGAGAGAGGCAGTTCTCTAGGGTTTCTTTCTTACAAGAGCCCCTCCCCTCAGTCCTCAGGGACTCTTTCTTACAAGAGTCCCTCAGGGGCCCCCACCCTCACAAGCTTAAATGCTTATCACTCCACACACCCTCACACATGGGGAGTCAGGTGGCAACAGTAGCTTGGGGTTCCCAAACACTCCTCACGGTGGCATGCTCTCTCCGAAAGCAGAGCACAATTCAACATGAAGGACGAGAGTCAAGAGGCACTCCGACGCCTGGTATGGTGGCACATGCTTTTAATCCCAGCACTCAAGAGACAGAGGCAGGTGGATCTCTGTTAGATCAAGGCCAGACTGGTCCACATAGTGACTTCCAGGCTTTTAGCTGGGCTGAGACTAGGAAGATTCTATCAAAAAACAAAAAGAGTCAGTCTGTGGAGTCAGATGTCTGCAGCCTGGGACGGAGCCAGCAAGCCTTGATCTGGAGCTGTGAATGGAGGGAAGGAAGATTAGGCCACACGTGGAGATGGTCCTATGCTCCTGGATGCGTGAAAGGGGACACACCCAGACCCAAATCCAGGCATGTACCATGCTGGGGCCCCTGGGCTTCCTGCGAGCCTCCTGTCCTGATAGGGCCAATGGCCTTGTGTTAATGCAGACTTTATGGCTTACCTCCACACAGAACTGGGCGTGGACTGAATGTGGTAAAGGTCATGGAAGCCTTGCCTGAGCTGGTCTCAAACTCTCTATCCACATAGAGCCCAGGATGACTTCGAACTCAATCCTCCTACCTTTACCTCTTGAGCGCTGGGATTATAGGCTTGCACCTCCATGCCTCCCTGCCAGGTTTATTCAGTGTTGGAGATTGAAACCAGGGCCTCATGCATCCTAGGCAAGCACTCTACCAACTGAGTCACATCCCACCACATTGCAGATGCCAACTCCAGGATGCCTCTCACACAGCCAAGGACACCTCAGCCTCATTACCTCTCACCCCAACACCAGGCCTCCAGCCTTGTGCAAGCTGGGGTCATCAAAGATGTGCTTGGTTAGCGGAATTTAGTTCTATCTCAGTGGCCTGTTGAAGCCATTCTGTTCAGGGGTCACATATCAGCCATCTTCTCAAGGTCAGTAGTCATCTCAAATTCTAGGAGATATTTTGTTCCTTGTGGGGTGTGTGTATGATGCTGGATCTTTCCATAAAGTAAGTGCTGACCCCTTGATCCATCCACACATAACCTGTGCCTGGGGACTCCACCCCTTCTTCCTTGACACTCTCTCCTTGACCAACCCTGTCATGGTTGGCTTCACTTGTCAACTTGACACATCTGGGAGGAGGGACCCTCAACTGGTGAATTTCCTCTATTGGCTTTGCATATGGCCATGTCAGTGTGGCCATTTCTTGACTGTTGAATGATGTAGAGGGGCTCAGCCCATTGTGGACAGTCACCCTGGACAGGTGGTCCTGGGTCGTATAAGAAAGCAGGCTGAGCACAGGACAGAGGAGCAGGCCAGTAAGCGGTGAACCTCCATGGTCCCTACTTCTGTTCCTTCCTGACTTCCCTCAAAGACAGACTGTCACTTGGAAGTGTAAGATGCAATAAACCCTTTCTCCCAAGTTGGCCTTGATTCAGATATTTATCACAGCGACCTGCAATCACCCAGGAGAGCAATGAGGACACAGAGAGCGGCAGGCCCAGCACCTGATGAGCACAGGCCGTGAGCTTTGTGTCCACTACCTCTCTGTCCTTAGAGGTAAGCCACCTCCCTGATCCCCACCACTGAGGAAACTGAGGTCCATGGAAGGGAATGGGGGCTGAGAGCAGAGTCCACACCCACATCTTCCACCTCCAGTGCTGGGCAGGAAGGGGCTGAAGGTCTGAGACAGAATTTGCTTTCAGGGTGGAGTGGGGAGTTGCTCTCGGGGTTTCTAACCCCAGCATGATACCAGTCTTGGGTTTGGTTTGTTCTAAAGTCTAATCTAAACAAATGTCAAGTTAAACATGTAAAGCAATTGCTCATAGATTTTACCTTTCCAGTGTTTTGAAAGACAGGATAATATCCTTTGCATGCCCCCAGAGAAAATAGACCTAGACGGAAATAAAGGAAGAAAAGGCACGTCAGTGGGAAAACAGATATTGTACCTGCACACTTGAGAAGTTATAAAATTGGGAGGGGGAGCAAATGACCCTCCTCATTGCAGCAGAGCCATTCCCCAGTGGGGACAGTGACCAAATGAGAAACAAGGTAGGGCCCGCCCTGTTCACGAGGAAGCTGTGCTGCAACTGATTAAGGAGGTCTGCTGTGATGGAGTGCCACAACTAAGGATGTCTAATGTGGAAAGAGTGCTACAATTGACTAGAGATGTCTGCTGTGGATGGAGATGTACAACTGGCTGAGGGTATCTGCTCTACGATGGCTGTGTGAACAGCAGCCTGTCTGTCATGAAATTCTCTAACCTGTTCTAATCACACTTGTCAAGTTTTGTCCAAGAATTTTCCAGACACTGTGCACCAGCGCCCAGAAAGCAAAGGCTGAGCATTCTTAATGAATGAGAATGGTGTGTGCTAGGCTCTTACTTTTCTCTTCTCAGAATGTGATCCAGTCCCCCGGTGGGGCCACCTCCTATGGCAATGCAGGGCACAGGCAAAGAGGACAGTGGCACAGGTTGAGTCTCCCCCACCTGAAATGCTTGGGATGGAAAGGGTCTGAGATTCTGGAGATGAAAAGATCTTGGACCTCAAGTCTAATATCTAAATTCATTTTGGTTTTATAATACCTTGCATGCACAGCCTGATGGTAATTTTGAGCATCTTTTAAAATCATTTTGTGAATAAAACAAGCTTGCACAGTGTGGTATTTTCTAATTGCAGCATTGTACTACCAACTCAAAAGTTTCTGATTTTGAAGCTTTTCAGATTTGAGCTTCCTATTAGAGATGTTCAAACTATGTCCAATCTGAGGACAAATCCAGGTCCCTCTTTGCTGCAGACGAGGCTTTGCCCAGGTGCAGGAAGCTTTCTGACTCTGCTTCTCTCCTCTGCAAAATAGGGGACTTGCCCTGGGGGCTCTGAGAAAGCAGGAGAGCTCAGAGTGGGCCTGTTGAGCTGTCAACATGGATGGAGCAGTGTCAACATGGATGGAGCACTATCAACATGAATGGAGCAGTGTCAACATGGGTGGAGCACTGTCAACATGGATGGAGCACTGTCAACATGGATGGAGTACTGTCAACATGAATGGAACAGGGTCAACATGGATGGAGCAGTGTCAACATGGATGGAGCGCTGTCAACATGGATGGAGCAGTGTCAACATGGATGGAGCAGTGTCAACATGGGTGGAGG